AAATGTTGCTCCAGATGAAGGTGTGAGGACTTAGAGAGAGTGAGTGTGTTTTTTATTCAGGTTTTTCACATCACAGTATTTTACAACTTTCAGATTTTTTTTTTCTTTTTACCAAATTGCAAGTGTTATAGATAACCAGTGATATGTTAATATGTGAGTAACTGGACATTCCTACTCCCTGTCAAACCACTTTGACAAAAATCCATTTGCAGTTGAAAGTATATAGAAAGTCATAGAAAGTCAATGTCTTTAATGCAGGAAACGTGTGGAACAGTCTTTGTTCACTGTTGCAGCTTCATTGTTCTGGTCCATATTCAAGTCTTAATCCTTACAGATACAATTTGATGGTTGACATTTATATTTACATTTTTCCTGGAGAAAATGCCATATTTGTAAGTCACCAACATTAGAGTGAAGCAGCAATGAAATTCAAGCTGACAGAGTAAATTTTTGGTTGATAAAGGACAGCAGGCAGTTGCCTGGCAACATGTAAAACAGGAGGAAAAACTTTTGACATGTCAACATGTAACACTTTACGCTACATGCAACGTACTATTGTAATTGGCATTAACATCTGTTCACATGATTATTAAGAATCAGATGTACAAAAAAAACACAAATATTGATTGTTTAAAAAAAAAATTATTCCATGCGTTGTTTTTTGTTTTGTTTTCTTGTATAGATAATACAATACACATGCATGCTACATGAGCTTATTCAAGAACCTTCAACACAATGTTTTACAACTCAATTTCTTATACACAGTCCATGGAAACACATGACCAAATTGTGATGTGCTTAAAAAATGCTAAAAGTTCCTCTTTTTGGTGTATTCATGTGTGTATTTGACACATACTTCACAAACTTCTAACTCTAAGTAGTTTTTTTGTGTGTATGCGATCCGAGAATCTCTACTTCTATTCTTTGTTTATGCACATTTTGACTTCAGATCAATAACGAAGATTTCAAAAGGCTAGTAAAGCAAGTTATTGAAGGATCGGTAATGCAATATAAAATGATATGAAATGCCCTCTGGCTGCTAGTTAAGGATAAGTAAAGTAATTAAAGTAAAGTAAAGTAATAATGTTGTCTGTGGCCATCATTTGAGTGACAGTGTGTTATTTTAAGTCGCGTGTAAATGCCATTTAAAGGTTATGTTAGCATCAACATTTCCGGTTTAAAAGCAGACTTTCTGATCACTTAATTATATTGTTTAAGGGTAAAGGACATTTCTTTGAGAGAAAGGCAGTTCACGTCTATATACTGTATGAGCTGAATTTAAAGCAGGCAGAAAAAAGATGTTACTTCTAAACTTTTCCTCGACCCATAATTGCTCTGTGCATTTTTTTTATTTTGCATCTACAGAGATAGAAGCACTTAATGAATGCTCAAGGGAAAACTCAAGTACACATCACAGCCATTACCACATCAATGGAGACTGACTTAGAGTAAAAAAAACAAAACAAATTGAAATATTATTAAGAGCCTGGTATTATTTATTTATCTGTACAAACCACTGTAAGAGTTTCTGACACCAGCATTCTACATACAATCCCCTGATTATCAATATAGATTAATAAAATGAGCTACAATGCTGCCATCTAGTAACTAGCAGCTTGTTTGGGCAGTCCCATAGTGTAGCGGTTATCACACCTTCCTCCGAAGCAGAGAACAGTGGATCTTGGGTTCAATTCCCAGAGAAACCACATGCTTGGCGTTTGCTACGGGCAGCCTGTTAACATCATATCTGCTTTTTACACGAACATTTTCCAAATATGGGATCAATATAGTTCAAATTAATTTAATTATTATTTATTTGTTTAGCATTGATTATGTTACTGTTCATTTGCTATGTAGGAGTTACCAGTTTCAGGTATGGGTGTTGGGTCAGGAGATGTGGTGACAGTGCACATGTGCGTGAGGAAGAGAGAGTGCTGAAAGTGTGAGAAAAGGAAAAGGTGTTTGGATAAGCTGTGTTGAGAGCAATACAATTGTTTAGAATGAGGCACCACAATGGTGTTTCATTCAAGTTCACCTCACAACCACCTGACTGATCTGTCACTGGGGCATTAAACTATTTTTAGAGCAAACATCATTTTTTGCGAAGCCCAGGCATTGTGTTCTCAATATCGTAGGAAAACGATTCTTAGAGATATTACATAATTATGCTCATATCTGATCTATTATCAAACATCACTATCAGTAAAGGTAGGTAGAGAAGCAGCAGATAAAATGGAACAAACATGTTTAAACATGTGACATGTGAACCCTAAAAACATATACCATTTTACATTGGTGTGTGGTGGCAGAATTCACAGTTGATTAGAAAACTGCCTTAGCAGCTATAGGTCTGAAATACCTAGCAAACTAATTAACAAAGTAACTGACTCTTTACGGTGCCTTTATGTAATTACCATATTTTTCGGACCATAAGTCTCTCTGGGGTATAAGTCTAGTGACTGTCAGTGTGAAAATAACGAACATGTAAATTTTCAGTGATACAGGAGTAGCAGATACTGGTACACAAGAAGTACCCTTTCGTGGCTGTTAGTGTGAAAATAAGAAACATGTAAAATTATATATTTTAATATATAAGTTGCACCTGAGTATAAGTAGCAAACCCAGCCAAAGGATAAAAAAAAGTGTGACTTATAGTCCAGAAAATACGGTACAAGTTCATTCTAACATAAAACTACTTTTTAAATCCTACAACTGTCTTGTCTCCCACGTTACCATTGACCTTGTTTTAATAGTGGTAGAAACAATATCTAAGCTCCTTTAATCAAAGAAGTGAACCAGAAGATCTGATGCAGTATGTGAGGAATATGAGATGGTGTTAGAAATGTCATATATAAACTTTTGTTAAAAGAGACCAAGAAAAGTATATAAAAGCTCAAATAAATACCAGCACCTTCAACATGGGTAGATGAAAGCTATATATATTGTATAATTTGTCCGGTTTAGACAGAACTATTCCGTGACTTGCTTTAACAACTACAAATAAAGAAACACAGATTTCTTCCTTAATGCATTATTCCTCTAATCATGATTTTCTTTTTCTTTTTTTATTTGTCCGCAGGCAGACTGGATCATAAATAATCTCCTGCTTAGCATTCAGAGTTTTTGTGATGCATTGGCTCAAAAACTCCTTTTTATTATTAGCAAATTGTTGCTGTTCATAAATTGCAGCAATTGCTGCTGCGAGCAAGAGCAATTTTCATTCATAGGCTCCAGCTTTCTTTATTTGTAATAGGGATAATACTTTATATTGCTCATATACATGTGGTGCCTATTATGTCACTAAAGTTAGTTCTGGAGCTTGACGGTGTAAAGACAGGGGGATGGCCACTATAAGTTTCACCAAGTAACGTTTGCACCTTATCTTCAGCTGTACCAATTGCAGTATTGTCTGTAGTAATCACACATTCTGTTTCTATGAGAGGAAAGAATATAAAAAAAAACTGTTATTGTGCTCATCACTTCTTTATAGTATTTTCACTGGGTCAGATGTCATTATTTTCAATCTCTTTCTAAAGAAAATATCTGTAATTTTCAGTTGTGAATGGCTGGAACTGATTTTACTAATGTCCTTGGTACAAAGCACATCATCTTTCCAATTTAGAAGTAATAATGAAAAACCAAAGTAATAAAATTCCCTTCTCACTCTGTTCAAAGCTGTAAAACAGAGGGAGCTGTTCTGATAATTTATTGCACACACACACACACACTAGTACTACATGCACATAAACAGAATACACAGACCCCGAAATAGACACATACACACTTCAGAGAACTACAAACTTTTAAATTAGCCAATCATCAGAAATCTCTTTCTCAAAAAGAGAGGTGACTCTTCTTTTGATGCCTTACTGCCTAACAGTCTGACACGCTCAGTGGGACTTGCTGCAGGTTCAGGGGCAGACACAACTTCTGCTTCTTCTTCTGTGGTTTCAAGCCTCATTTTTTGTCTCCTCTACCTCTTCCAGTGCTGTTTCTGTATCAGCCACTGGGGCAATTGCGTCCTCTACGCATTCTCTTTACCATTACTTTGTCCTGCACCGTGGCTGGGGTATCAGTAAACTTCACAGGATCCATACCTAAAAGTGTGCACTCATTCTTATTGTTTGGATTCCATGCTAGCTCACCTTTTGGAGACTCCTGAGATTCCATGCAACTTTCCCTTCTGAGAACTCCAGGCTCCAATCAAGCTGTAACAACACATCCATTCCTAACAATGGCTGACATGCCTGTCCAATCCATAAATTAGTGACAACTTCAGCAGGCCCAACAGACAAAGTCACAGGTCGTGTTTTCTGAAAACACATCCTTTCTCCACCAGTGCCATATGCATATTGGGTATCAGATGTTAATGGAAGAGACTCGCCTTTAAATATGACAGAGGAATAATCGTCAACTCGGCTCCAGTATCCAACAGAAACTCAACCTCAAACTTATTGTTAATGGTCGTACTCACATACCATCCATCCTTACGTGGCCTCACTGCAGCCACAAGAGCGCGCTGCGAGGCCTCCCTTAGTTTCCCTGGAACGCAGAAAGTAAGGGTTATTAGTCCTCAACATTAATATTGTTGATGTTCAAACCGGTGTCACATTTCACAGGTGAAGAGAATGACTTGTCAACATGTACACCGTTTTAATAAATTAAACATGAAATAATTCGATAGCAGTTTTACCTCACCTTTCCTTTCATGTAATGTCATCCTTGGTAACTTCAATTATAAAATGTATTTTTGTGGACAATGTATAATAGGTTCACCTGATGATCTCTTGTGGTATTAGCTGTTGCAAAGTGGTTGTGGACCACTGTTCTAAGGGTCTGTAAAACTTTGCTCTTGAAAAAATAAATTTAGATTACTATAATTTATTATATGCCTAAAATACAATCCAATCCACTGGTAGATGATGTATTTTCTTACATCATCAGACTCCCCTTTCTGTTTGCTATGTCTTGCATTTATATCATTTTCCTCTTTCTTTCAGGTGAAGTTTGGGCGGTTTGGTTTTGTCTGGGATGCAGCCGTGCTGGACTATGTGGCTAATAATGACGAGGACTGTGCCTTCTACACAGTTAGTAGCAACTCACCAGACCGCGGATATGGTATTGCCATGCAACACGGCAGCCCCTACAGGGACATTTTCTCCCAGAGGTAAGAGTGGCTACAGTAAACAGCACTCAGCAGCATCCTTGAATGCTTTTGTTTGTTATGTAAGGCACATTTTACATGAATAATAATTGGGCCATCACTTTGGTTTCTCACTACTTATCTCTGTGCTAACCTGAGTTTTAGGTCAAGAAAGTTTTTAAGGTTTTATAAGAACTGTGAAAAACTGCAAAAATAAATAATATATATATATATATACAGTATATAGTATGGCATGCCGTTCAGGAAATTAAGCTTTGAATATATATACAAAATGTGGCGTTTTGGCCCTGAGGCAATGTCTCTGTCATTGCTGTGGAACCCCAGGGTTCACCTCCTGGGCAAGTTCGAATCCCAGTTAGGGTGGTTGGTACCTTCCAGTGGACTCACCACCTGCAGGAAGGTTTGAGAGGTTGGTGCGGTGCAATGTGATTTGGGTGGCGACTGTTGCCCAAGTGACCCGGTAACGGATAAGCGGATGAAAATGGATGGATGGATGGATGAATATATATACAAAAAGTCTGAATATATATTCAAAAATCCTGAATATGTATACATAAATCCTGAATATATATATATACACATAAATCCTGAATGTATATACAAAAAGTCTGAATATATATATATACAAAAATATGAAGTGTATTTGACCACACTGTCCGTATCGGTGTGCAGCTATGCCTGCACAACCCGCACAAAAAAAAGTATAAGAAGTAACAAAGAGTGAAAGATGTTCATACAGAATCTGCTTGTGTTGCTTTGATGTATTTTTTTTTTTTTTTCATACTTTATACGTCCCGCTACGTGAGCACAAGATACAGGAGCCTGGCGCGTTGTGCAGGCGTAGCTGCGCACCAATGTGTACAGTGTGGTCAAGTATGCTTCATATTTTTGTATATATATTCAGACTTTTTGTAAATATATTCAGGATTTTTGTATATATATTCAGGATTTTTGTATATATATCCAGGATTTTTGTATATATATTCAGACTGTTTGTATATATATTCAGGATTTTTGTATATACTCTATATTCAAATTTTTTGTATATATATTTAAAGATTAATTTCCTGAACGGCATATATATATATGTATATATAGATATATATATATACATATATATATATATATATATATATATATATACACACACATATATGTATATATATGTATATATAGATAGATAGATAGATAGATATATGTGTGTGTGTGTATATGTATATAAAGATTAATCAAATTTTTCTGTTTTTATTAATGTTTTCCTGGACCCTGGATTATTGCCTCGAATTCGAATTTGAATTTTTTTCAACAGTATTTTGTGTAAAGATTCATACACGACAGCAATGAAAATGTGTAAGGGATTTTTTTCGTCACTTGCGGTCACTTTTATAAAGTCTTTGCTCCTGGAGTACATGACACCCCCCCCACCCCCCTTAGTTCTGGAACCAAGTAAACAGCAGGTTAAATTGTGCATATTTTTTCAACTTTGTTCCCAAAGATACAGACCAGAGGCACTTCAGTAGGTTCCCTCGCTTCATTGTGAACCACCGACTGACATTTAGGTTAAGGCACTGTGACACCACAGCTTCACAAATAGGAAGAGCTGACTGGGTGGATGTTATTTAAAGTGATACCAGCTGTTTATCTGGATGTTGTGGCACAGCTGTTGTGAGCTGCTGGTTGCTTTAAAATTGCATCAGTCTGAGACAATAGCCTGTCTGCACAGGCAGAATTCAGTAAGTTGGAGGAGCCACCTGTGTTTGTTGAGCCACACAGTGGTATGCACACATTCCTTACAGCAAGAAGTTCACTGATTTTCCTGTTCGATCACAAGTCTTTTTGTATAGTTCCCATGCAGGTTATTCAGATCATTCCCAAAACATGCAGAATTACAGGAAAAGGCCACTGTATGGTGAGGGGTTGTTGGACTTTGTATTGGGTCCCTCGGCACAATGTTTCCCACTCTCACTCATGAGCATGAAAAGGACTATGCAGGAGTAGATGAAGATTTCTGTAGTATTGTGTGGGTTTTTGTTTTTCCTTTTTGTGTGCTTTTCATTGCAATATCACTTAAATAAGGTACAATGATTCCCAACCGTTTTTGTCTTGTTGCCCCATTTAGCCATTTCTGACAACCCCATTTTAGACAACCCTAATTTTGAAAAACACTAATGTGTAAAGTGTTACCCCACAGACATTTAATGATTGATTGTATTATTTTAATACAACCATGTAAACGTTTACATCTACATAAATAGACAGAAAATTATTAATTGTGTTTCTTTGCTTACATTTTCATATGTTTCCCCCAGAATTATTGTATTATTCAAATTAAAAGAGCAGTGAAGCACAGAGTGAAGAACCAGTAATTCCCACTGGTTCATTAACAGTTTGAGACCTTAACTGGAAAATGCATTTGATTGTTCTCGATTATGTTTGGTTAAGTTGGTCATCACGGCGCCTGCCACTTGTTGATGTATCTTTTAAATTTTATGTAAAAGCATGTTTGTCTCTATTTTCTAAAAATAAATTATAGTAGAGCAATAATTTACAGGCTTCAAGATGTCGTCACAATAACCTGAGTAAACTAGCCAGCACATGCAACTCCAACCTGGGATGCATATGTATTAGGGCTGAGGTTTATGCAGTGGTTAGCTGGATAGCAGCTCCAATATTGAAGTAGACCTCCTTACATGTATAGATAAGGGTTATTTTAGGGCAAACAGGTTTTTCACTTTGATAGAAGCCAAAAAAAAAGTTGGTGATGTTAAATTATCCAGCAGCTGGCTTCTATATGTGTAGAAATGGTTCCAAAAATCCTGTGACAGCACCTCTCGAAAATACTGAGGAGAAATTTTGTGGAACAACTATATAAGCCCAGAAGTGCCTTAGTGTTATGATGTCTATAGTTGACACAGTCTGCAGGATCTTAAGGAATGATATGAGCATGCATTTGTTCTCATCAACACTGTACTGCACCGTAGGAGTTACATCAACAGAGGGGGATCTTTAAAGCTCTGCAGAAAAAAATAGAGCCTATGGGAGAAATGGTAGGAGCAGTGATGGGAGTCGTCTAATGAAATTGCCTGGGAGCAGATTCAGTGTACTGAAACTATAAACCGTAGGAGATTATCTCTACGACTGTCACTCTTCAGTTTTCTCTTTCTTTGCCGTTGATGTTTCATGTCTTGACACAGAAAGACACGACCTGACACGAATAATGATAAATGCAGCCTCAGGCTTTGTCAACAATACACTTTAAAATTATTGTTTTACATTAGTTTTTGAACTGGAGTACATACACTAGTAGTTATTCCATAAAACCTTCTTTTATATTTACTTTTATTATACTGATGTCTCAGCTTTCAGTTATATTCGGGTTGAATTTCTTTTTTATGCATTATGTATGTATGTGTACACACACAGCCTTGTTGATAATATACTGTAGTTTTGTTGGATATGGAGAAGTTAGATGGAAGTGTCAACTTTTGCTGTGATTATTATTATTATTTAAAAGTGATTTTCCTTGCGTTGACATGATGACAAAGACAATGTTCTGAGGGTACAATCAGTGCAATTCCATTACTGTCTTTATATGGTGTATTTGATGGTAATATAGAACAGATAATGTATAACTCTATACATCGTCTGGTCGATGACTGTGTTTGATGGAGACAGCCTCTAAATTTGCAAATACAAATAAAAAGAGTGGTGTAAAGGATCCATCCACTAATTTAAACTGACAGTTGTTTTGAAGTCAAAATATCAAAGTGAAGATTTAATCCATAGCACATTGGCTTTTTAAAATTGCTGCATCACAAAGAAGATAAACTGTGCGCCAGACCATATATGTCATGCTATGGTGACAGCCAAGGTCAGTCTAGATGATATTTCCATCTGTTATTATGTCCACGATGTCAGATTGGGTAATCGTAGTGACATAAATTTGTGATGTGCCAGACTTGACAAATTGCAGGATGGTGTCTGCCCTCGAGTTAACTTCATAATTGACATAATGAGGTTGGCAGATGAAGCAAAGGAGTCAAGACACAGGGCGAGACAACATTTTCAGTGATCAAACATTGGCCTTGCAGCTCCCGTACCAGACGGAGATGCAACTGGTCAGCAGGCTCTCGATGGTCCCTCTGTAGAAGGTGGAGAGGATGGGAGGGGGGAGGGAGGCCCTACTCATCCGTCGCAGGAAATGCAGGTGCTGCTGGGCTTTCTTCACTAAGGAGGTGGTGTGTAGTGACCAGCCAAGGCCGTCTGTGATGTGCACCCCCAGGAACTTGGTGCTGCTGACAACCTCCACTGCTCTGTCATTGTTGAGTATCAGTGTGTGGCTGGGTTGGGATCTGCTAAAGTCGACAATGATCTCTTTGTCTTGTTAATGTTCAGGAGTAGATTATCTGTCTGAAACCAGTCCACCAGATGACATACCTCCTCTCTGTAGGCCAGCTTGTTGTCATCCTGAATGAGGCCCACAACTGTAGTGTCATCCGCATTTAGTATGTGGTTGGTGTTGTGCCTGGGATGACAGTCATGGGTCATCAGGGTGAACAGCAGAGGGTTCGGATCTGGTGCTCAGGAAGATGACACTAGAGGTATTGTTGCCCCCTCGGACAGACTGGGTTCTGTCAGTGAGGAAGTCCAGCAGCCAGTTGCACAGGGGAGTGTTAGGCCACAGGGGGCCCAATTTGCATAATAGGTCCTGGTGGATGATCGTGTTAAATGCTGAGCTGAAGTCCAGAATCAGCAACCTTACGTGGGTGTTCTTTCCCTCCAAGTGCTCCAGGCTCAGGTGGAGAGAGGTAGAGATGGCATCCTCAGTGGAGCAGTTAGGCTGGTATGTGAACTGGAACAGGTCGAATGATGGGGGCAGTATGGTGAGGATGTGGTCCTTAAACACTTCATGATGGTGAGTGTTAGTGCAACAGGTTAGAAGTTGTTAATGCATGAGATGGTTGCTTTATTTGGCACTGGAATTATTTGAAGCATGAGGGGAC